TCTAACACCTTAGCCTTAGTATTTTATCAAATTCTCATTTTTGCCTAATGACTAATACACAAAATAATGCGTTCATACAAAAATTTGACGCAAAACTTGATTATTGTGAATTGCGTATAGATGTATGATTTTTATCTGTGGGAAATCGTAAATATAAAGTATGCATTTCACAATACTCAGTTGATTGAAATGTTTATTTGGAATTTCAAACTGCTATAACTTTGTTCAGTAACCTCTTCGATCTACTTAAACAATTTAAAAACCTAATCCATAGAATTTATTTTAAAATTAAAATGGACGATTTAAAAAAAAAAAAAGAAAGTTTTTTTTTTCTCTAAACCTAGAGCCCCTCCACAAAAAAAGTGGGATTGGTATGATAAACGAAAAAATCAATTTAAAAAACTAATCCAAAGAATTTATTTAAAAATTAAAATGGACGATTTAAAAAAAAAAAAAGAAAGTTTTTTTTTTCTCTAAACCTAGAGCCCCTCCACAAAAAAAGTGGGATTGGTATGATAAACGAAATTCTACTTCACATAATAAAGCATTTGTTTTAGTTTTCCACTGCCACTGGATTCCCAACAAGAAAAATAATGTGTAAAAATGCATGCAAATAAATAGGTTAGACGTATTGTTATATTTATTCTGATATTAAAAGAAAAAGCATTTGGTAACTATATATTTATAAACTAAGCATCTAATTCTTTAAATGCGAATATGTTATTCAGCAAATTGTGCCACAAAGGTAGCACATTGAAATCGATAGCATTTGTAATTTCGTTACTTTTAATAACAATTGATACAAATTGCACTGTTGTGTTTGCCAAATTGTATTTATCAATTTATTTAAGTTTTAATTTTATGCTTAACATACATAAAATCAAATACGTTTCAAGTTATGATAAGAACTAACTTATTAAGCATGATGCCATCATACAATTTATAATTAACAGTATTAACAGGTTATCCTACCTAAGGGGGCGTCCATTAATTACGTCAACAAAATAAGGGGGGGGGGAGTTGGAAATGTTTGACAGTTGTTAACTAGGGGGGGGGAGGTTTAGATTAGTTGACATCAACAATCATGTTTTTTCTATTAAAATTTTAAACTAAAAATTGACTGGTTCCTACATTATTTTAATAAATTTAAAGAGTGCAAATAGTCATAGGCCTATAAGTTTAGGCTTTTAACAATTTAAGAGTTATTTATCTGTGTCTGTCTGTGCACTGCAGATGGTTGGTCATAGTGTTAGCACACTTTGTTAGTGCAAGAGAAGTCCAAAGTTGGCATCTCTTCACCTGTCAAAAGTTGGCCTCTCTTCACCTGTCAAAAGTTGGCCTCTCTTCACCTGTCAAAAGTTGGCCTCTCTTCACCTGTCAAAAGTTGGCATCTCTTCACCTGTCAAAAGTTGACATCTCTTCACCTGTCCAAAGTTGGCATCTCTCTTCACCTGTTATTTTTCTCTTAATCCGCTCCCTATAATGATTAATACACCATTGTAAACGGTGTTCAATTTTAAAAACAACACCAACTCATCGGTGTTCAATAACAACTATAGCAACTCAAAGACAGAGAGCATATGGCAATTATTGCTCACACCGGCAATACTTCTATTTTAAGTGCTGAATGGTTAGATGACAAAACGGAAGTACTCCTTATTCACGATCTCAGCTCTTCCCACTTCATTTCATGTAGGTAACTCAGACATACAGACAGTTTACATTCTCCGCTCTTGGTTATATTCTGTCTAATAACATGTCTCTCGATAATCAGATCTCTCACTTTTGTCGCTCTGCATACACCGCTATTCGTCAGATCAGCTTCACCCGTCACTACCTCACAGTTAGCACAACAAAAACCCTAGTCTGTGCTCTAGTTCTCTCTTGTCTTGACTATTGTAACTCTCTTCTATCAGGTTCACCAAAACACTTCTTAGAAAAATTACAAAAGATTCAAAACTCAGCTGCTAGGCTAAGTGTAAAGGCAAAAAAAAAAAAAAAAAAAAAAAAAAACGTGATCACGTCTGACCACTACTTCATTCACTTCATTGGTTCCCTGTACAAGCACGGATTGACTAAAAACTCTCTGTTCTCTGGCAAAACTTTTTCCCTTCCTATCTAACCGAAAATCTCCCTTCGACAGCTTTGCTCCTCCACAGACGCGCGTATTCTTTCTGTCCCCAAGACTCGCACAAAAACATACGGTGAACGATCATTCTCTTTCTGTGCCCCCAAACAAATGGAATTCTCTTCCACTACATATTCGCAATACACCGACCATCATAGCCTTCAAAACTGCCCTCAGAACACATCTCTTTAAACTCTACTATCCTGACTAATTCCTCCCCCCCCCCTGACATGACATGTAAGTACCGTATTTATTGGCTTATAACACGCCCCCGCGCAGGCATGTTCTTAGGCATACTTTGACTACGCATCCGCGTAGGGCCCCGATCGTGAGGGGGCCCCTGTGAGGCGACGTTCCCCCGGGTTTTTTTTAAACTGGCACTGCAGCCGTCTGTGTCACTCACGTTACCTTCCTCATCCTGAAATTTATCATTCTGAATTGAATTCTGAGGCAGGGGAAGGGACGCAGCAGGGGGGAGCTTTGGGGGGTGGCAGACAGGGAATCGGGGGCTTGGCCGTGGGGATGGGAAAGAGGAAGCATTGATGAAGGCAGAATGGAGGTGCCGCAGTGATGGGTGGGGTTTTCTCCTCAGCTCGAGGGAGCTCCACCCCCGAACTCCCCCCCTTCCGGGGCCCCCAACCTACGCTCCATGCTTAGGGCCCCCAAACTCCTAAGAACGGCTCTGCCCCCGCGTATAACACGCACCTCAATTTAAGAAAGAAATTTCAGGGGGAAAAACTAAACATTATATCGGCGTCTAACACGCACACATGATTTGCCCCATATTTTCTTGGAGAAAAAGTGCGTGTTATACGCCAATAACTACGGTAGTTCTAGAATGTATTTATAGTAAATATACGTTTGCTTTGTTTTATTTAATTAATGTATGTTAATTTTTACGTTTATTGTTAAATTGTATGTACAACGTAGTGAGGCCAGCCCTAGGCTCGGGTACCGCTCTATATAAAACCACCACTAATCATACTAATAAAATACGGATGATTTTGGCTTGTCTGGTAGATCAGTTCCGCAAGATGAAAATGATAAATCCGCAACGATCGTTGCGGAACTTGAGAAGACAGTCAACCTATCTCGAAATAGAACAAATCTGACCCACCTCTCAGCCAATCAGCCGTATGCGGAACCTTCACGTCCCACTATACATTAGTCCTTGACAGACACATCAGTGACCAACGCAACGCAGCCCTGAACATGTACAGAGAGCGGCTGCCTTAGAGACAATGGAAGGGTCTATAAATACCCCAGTGAAAGTTTTCACGGACGCCTCTGCCAACACGAGAGAAAGAAATGCAGGGTATGGTGCGTTCATCCTGTACCCAACTGGAGGGCCGCCAAACCAGGAACTTTTAGGAGCCTATGGGACTACAGCATCGAATTTCAACGTGGAGCTGGAGGCTATACACAAGGTCCTGGAAAGTGTGTACCACACTCTGCAGAGGTGGGACCGTGCGGGACTCGACGTCTTAGTTTACTACGACTCTAGATCTGCTCTTGAGATCTTGAGAAAGGGGGCGGGTGCCACTCACTTATTTGGCGCCATCATGGATGACGTGGGCAAGATCGATGAAATTGGAGGAACGGTAACAGTGGACTGGACTGGTACCCGGGTGCGAATGGCGGCGCTGCGTGTCTGGGTCCATTTTGACTCAGTGCTATTCGGATGTCATTTGTGGTAGTTTATTTTAGTTAAACTGAAGAATTAATTTTACAAACATATAGTCCATTCAATTATCTTTCATTTGATACCTCATTTTGTCTTACAAACCCAACAATAAAATTTATATAGTTTTTTTAATCCCAACCTCTCACTTCTGGTACCCGGGTACTTCGAAAAGAAAAAAGTACCGCCTGGGGGGACCACTCCTCCATCTACCTACGCCTTTGTACCTCACTGTAAAATTTCCATTATATAAAACAATAAATGGAGGAATATATGAACCAAATACTGCCTAATTTAATAACTTGTCTTTGGAACATAATTAATTAAATGTTTGCCTATGGATTAGTAACTATCTATACTCTATATCAGTGGTCCCCCAAAAAATTTACACTATCGATTAATATAAAATATTGTTCAAATTAAAATTTTTACAATGTAAATTTGAATTAACCCTACATTTTCTGTAAATTATAAAATTTACTTACTAACCTAACTGCACAAAGAGCTGTCAGTATTAAAATGTTAGTACTTTAAGGAAAACCTGCCTTTTTTTTTACTCACTTGGATGCCTCGTACTAAAGGGGCGCCGTGAACCAACAAACAAACAAAAATTAAAAAATTAAATGATGAAACCCGATACTCACAAGTCACAACCAGTTGCGCACCTTCACAAAATGCCACCCGGGGCGAACTCTCAAAAATTGCACACCAAATACACACAAACAACTAATATAATTATATATATTTAAAACCTTTTAAACTCAAAAAGTGCCGCCCGGGGTAACTGGCCTCTTCCCACCTCCCCTAGAATCACAACTGCTCACAAAAACTTAAAACGCATCACTGTCCAAGTCATCATAGCATCTTATTTATATCGATCCTTTCTAGTATTAGGCATATCAATCATTAGTAGGCTCTATTATTAAATTCAAAATTAATTAATTCAAAATTTCAACCTTTGATTTTGATGTTGACACAGATACATAATTATGACCTGATTAGCTGCACCAAAAATAAATAAACACTCTTTCTGATTAAATAGGATACTGTTGATTATAAACAACAAATACAATAACATTTTATAAACTCTAGTTGACGAGTAGTTAGATGCACCTCAAGTTGACAAGTGGTAAGATGTACATCAATTAAATTGATCTTGGTTTTATTTCGGATCTCGGTAAAAGATATGACCCGGTATGCTGAAATGTAAATAATTGAAATTATTAATGGTCCTACAGCTGTTGCCGAAGTTTCTTGGTCTTGTAGGACTAATATACTGGTATTCTTCTTTTGTTTCCAACGTAATAAAACAAAATAATGAACATGAGTTAAAATTGCCTGTCTTTATTAACTGTACAGTACAGTCCTTACAGCCCACAGTGCCACAGTGGAGCAGGCTGAGCAGGATCGACAGTCACTGATTAATTGAGTGTGTGACACTGAGTGTGTGTCGTGTCTGCTATGTCAGTGTATTAGGATTCATCAAATTAATGTGTCTGTAGAATATAGACGTCAGACAGTGAAGTCATTCTGAAGTCAAAGTTAAAATTATAAAATTATATATTTCATAAAAATAAAAGCTTAGGCTTAGCCTTAGGCAGGTTAGGGTGACCAAACGTCACATAAAAACGGGATTGTCCCGTTTATTCACGATTGTACCAGGTGTCCCAAATAAGCTTCTCGGGATGCCTAAATGTCCCGTTTCTAAAACCAAACACATCTTCAAATCACTAAAACTTCCTAATTTATAATATAACTTCAAGTAATATTTTGGCTAGCTGTGTAGCCATTGCCAGTAGTGATGTGGGCTCACTTGATTGCTGCACTGTTTGTGACGATTTGAGGCTGGACTTAATAGAATTTCTTCCACCGTAAATACGCCCTTGAAAACCCTTTTAATATAGTACCATTCCCCCCCTCTTGTTTGCCCTGCAGTAGCATAGCCCGAGTGACTCCCCTTAGTGTTATCGCATTTCTACACAAGGCCGCTCACCCCGAAAGCGTACATTTTGTGTTCAACCCCTCTCACAGAGGAACCTTGAGAAAATGATACCATTCCCCCCTCATTTTTGCCCTGGAGACAGCAAAGCGGAGTATCGTTCCTTGTTGTTAGTGAATTTCTAAACCAGAAAACTCACGCAGAAGCCTGAATTTGGATTTCTCACATCGCCCCGATAAACTTTGAGGGTAGAAGGTCGAACCCGCAATATCAAAAGTGATTATCATTGGATGGGAAAACATACAACATTAAAATCACCCAATTGAATCATCACCCAACTCGAATAAATAGCTAGAACAAGCAAGAATATTTCTTTTATGATCATCATCACTTGAGTGTGAACGCTGAAGATAACTTCACTAGAGACTTCATAGCGTTATCACTTGAATGTTAACGCTGAAGATAACTACACTAGAGACTTCATAGCATTATCATTATCACTTGACTGTGAATGCTGAAGATAACTTCACTAGAGACTTCAGTAGCCTGATCTATAACTGCAACCTAGGATATTAGCAAGCATATGTCTTTTAATATCTGATCACTTAACCGTGGACGCTGGAAGTATCTAGACTTAGAACTTCATTAGCGTGATCATTAACTGCGACTGCTACCTAGAGTACTAGTAAGAACGCAACCATGATTTTGATATTGCACTTGTATTTTTGACTTTAACCTGGTTTATATTACTGGACCGACGCACCTTGAAGCTGGAACTAGGGGATTGATTTACGTCCTACACCAAACTACCTGACAGCCACTAGAAGGACTTCAAGATCCAGGGACTCTCGCTACGACTATTTATCGCTGGAGAGTCATCTTCCCCATCGCAGAGATGCCACGGAATCTATGGCCGGGAACTCCGACTTCGCTATGCTTAGAACAGCTCTGAAGACCGGAACAGGGACACGCTTTTGGAACAGAAGGAACTCCCACACTGTGTGATCCACCGAGATCAGCACCGGAATTATAAAGGCTAAGTCAACAAAGATTGAGCATAGAACCTTGAGCAATATAGCATTAATAATGATGATACCGTCAGTATGTTAGGGACAATTGTTTTGCATTGATATACCTTTCTAATTGGATGAAATCCATTTGATGTATATATATTAATCACCTAGAGCGTATTACGGAGGAATTTGTATATATCATTATTCAAAAATACTTATAGTTATTTTCTCCTTTAACAAAGACTTGTTTCAGTCTTTACTATATGTATATAGATAGGTTATTATGTCTGTGTGGTAATTTGGCTTAATTAACGAATCCCTAGACAGAGTGCAAAGAGGAGATCTCATATCCACCACTCTGCCGATGCTGCGTAAAAGACTATGTCCCTGCCAGATTCACTGCAAAATTATTGTTTTCGTTTATGATATCCTCAGAGTTTAAATTAAATTACAAAAGTAAAAGTGAAGGAAATTTAAAGGAGCATATTTCAATAAACAGTTTCCAGCAGAGGCCCCCGCCCCGGACCCCTCTTTAGCTGGAGGCTATCACCCCAAACCCTCCTTGGGTGTATCCCGTTTTTTCCAGTTCATAATTTGGTCACCCTAGCTTAGGTCCCATTTGGCTAAGACTAAGGCTGACAAATTAATTTTAAAGACACTCTTGTTGAAAATATTAAAATATAGATTAAGTTAATATTAGTTGATACTAGGGTGCCCAAACAATTCATTAATGGAGGAATACAATACTAATAATTTTCTATGACTAAAATAGGCAGATTAAGATATAATTTAAATATAGAATAGTTCAGTAATAAATTTTAATAAGAATAAATGCTAATATTATTAATAAAGCCCAGTAATTTAGTACCTTAGTCGCCTAGTTCTAGCTATTTCATTTTTCACTAGCCTAATAATTTAATGGGTTTGTGCAGGAATGTTCCATGCCATGCACATTGCCTACAATAAAAATAATAAAAGACATGGGCATGGGCTGTACTCTATGGATTACAGACGTTTAGGACGATTAGCCTGTGGCGTAAGGCTCGCAGACTTGTGTCAGTCCACAGACCACCATTTGAGAAACACTGCTCTACTTTATATATTTAATAACAAACTGTTCTTTATTAATAAATATTATTTGGTAACATAATTAATTACCGGCATATTATTTTATTTCAAACAGGAGGTAATAAAGATGTGCACATACTAGCTTCAGATTTATTTTACACTCAAGATGTCTGTTTCACACCCACTCTTAAAGATTTTAAAAGGTGAGAATTTTATTATAATTATCTTCATCAATAACTTCCATTCACTCTAACCTTAGAGAAATGTTTAAAAATTTTAAAATCTTTTTGTAGTTGCATTTGTATTTATTGAATCATGAATGTCTGTCATTGTATCATTAATATTCTATCTTTTTCTTGATTTTAGCCACATTACTGGAGTTGTACAATGAAGGAGGAAAAATATATGACATAAATCTTCGACTTGTTCCATTTTGTAGAGCAATAGAAGATATTTTTCGCCTTGGGCTACACAGTAAGTAAAAAAAAAACTTCTTTTAGTTTTAGAAAGCTTAAGACATTAAATTAAATAATGCCGTTGCAATAAATAGGAATGTCTGATGTTTGTAATTAATTAATAGTAATAATAAATTTATTAAATTATTAACAAAGATTAAAAGAACACTTACTAACACTGTAGTTCTTTTTAAGACTTACACAAATGGATTTGTAATCATCATTTATTACTAGAGTGCGACACTTTTTCAGTATTAACGAATGAAACCGCACTAAATTTAGATGTCTGCTGACCCTCAGCCATGTTATTTTGAACGGATAAATTGAAATTTTTGCTTCTTGTTGTAAAACATTGAATTTATTGCACCACCAGTTTTAAATGTGTGCACAAATATTTCTTGTCTTAAATGTATACAAACTGTACAAAGTTTGGGTAAATCATTGGATTGCATGGTGTAACACTGAAAACATGCCAACTCCTTTTTTTTTTTTTTGCAAATGAAAAGGGGTAGATATCCCCTCTTATGATTAGGGAGTTATCATTCCAGTGTAAATCAGCTGAAATGACGATGGAGTGAGAAGAGATGAGTCTTTGTTCAAAATTTCATATAACACATATCTAGTTCAAGCTATTCCAATGTATATTGAATTTCTCCTCAAATAAATAAGTTCCACAAGCGCTATTTATTTGTACAAACTATTGTTGTGAAAATAGCCATGGATACACAAAGTTAAAGCACACAAAAATTCCTCTACTTAGACAATGTTGAATTCAGGTTTTACTTTAACACAATAAATGTGAATCCAATAGAACCAAATTGTGATGACAACATTGATGCACTGGGCACTGAGATATTTATTTGTATGTTTAGCTAACCACGGCCACTGGTTTGCAAAGTCTGATTACTGGACAGTCTTTTCTAAGTTTGGAGATAAGTAAGTTGGTCTTTTTTTTTTTACTCACCTCCATTTCTTTGGATTCAAAATATATTTTTTATAAAATGTTTATAAAATTATCTTAAAATGATTTAACAATAATAATTAAATAATCTGAAATGTTTTAGAAGTAGAAATACCTTGCTTACAAAATAAAGATTAGTAGCTTTACACATTATATAAAGTAAGTGATTAATCTCACCTCATGGTGATCACTTGACGAGAGCGGTCTGCCCCAATCAAATGGCTCGCCTAATACTTTGATGTGCCTGGTAAATTGTAGTAACAGAGCTAATGTAACACTACCGAAATGCATGCTGTAACATAGATTAAATAGTAGAGATTAAAGAAAAATGTAACCCTACTGAAATGCATGCTGTAAATAGATTAAATGGTAGAGATTATAGAAACATGTAACCCTACTGAAAAGCATGCTGTTACATAGATTAAATGAGAGAACTCTGTATGTGCTGGTGGAGCAACTAATTTGGACCTACTTCAGCTTTTTGTTAATATAAAAAAACAACATTTAAATTTTATATATTTGTCTAACATATTTCTTTTATTGGACACACAATCCTGATTTGGTCTAACCTCATGAATTTGATGAAGACCAAAAAGAGAAAATATGCCTGAAAAATCATAATGTAGTAAAGGGAGTTAAAATCGTTCACTTTGAAAAAAATTATAATTATTTTTCGTTGAATGTCTTGAATAAATGACCATCCCAAATATCCATTATTTTCATATACTTCACTGTAAATATTTTCATTTGGACAAGGTTTAACTCTTTTTTTTTTTTAGTTATAGAACTAATTATGGCAATCCGACTTAAAGACATTTTTTTTACAAATTTACAAGGAGTTATTTTGGAAATGGCATCCTCTATCACCAATCACATACTGTCATTCTGCCTCTATCACCAACACATACTGTCATTCTGCCTCTATCACCAATCACATACTGTCATTCTGCCTCTATCACCAATCACATACTGTCATTCTGCCTCTATCACCAATCACATACTATCATTCTGCCTCTATCACCAGTCATATACTATCATTCTGTCTCTATCACCAGTCATATACTGTCATGGTGTACTGATGATTTATTTATATTTATTTATTTAACCATGACTTTGTTTAGGGCTGGCCCAGGATTATATCATCTGCTCAAATATGTCAAAGACAGCCAGAAGGTATTGTATTGTAATGATTTCACTGTATAAACTTTGTTATGATTGAAATATTTAGCATTTACTGTTATATCTTACTGAACGGAATGGCTGAGAATTGTTTTCAATGCATTCATGTACATTTTTAAAATCACTTTCCAGCTATTCAAAATCAAGTTACTGAAAATTTTAAACACACTTTTAAAAAATATACTCGAATTAATAAATAAAATTTAAACAAATTATTCCACGTAACTTTATAAACTTTTTATTCTTTTTGAAGAAGAATAAAAAGTTTATAAAGTTACATGGACTTTTTTGTTGAAGTTTTTTAAATTTATTAATCAAATGGAGTTGATTTAAAAAAAAAAAAATAATAATAATCTACTCCAATTAATTAATAAAAATTAAACAAATTAGTTCAAGTAACTTTATAAACTTTTTATTCTTCTTCAAAACTATCATCTACTTACCCCTAGGAATATTAGTTTTGATGCCTTGAATTGCAGATCACAACAGAACAAGGGAGAGGTAGACTGTTCATCAGGGCATGCCTTGTTAAGAAAGATCTGGCCACACTGGTCAGGAAACTCAGGGGAGACAAGGCTTTTATTGAGGTACCTGCCCAGTATGCACAAATAAAGGCTTTAATTATTCAAATGCATGAACCTAAATTATTTGGAAGAATTGTTTACCAATGGAAGAAAATATTTACCAAAATCTCTTTTACCAGTTAGAATTTGTTTTAATATTTATTGAAAAATTATGAGAATTAATTTTCCTCTTGAGAATTTTTATTTAGTGAGTTTATAAAATTTGCCCTTTTTTACATTATTGTGAACAACTGATAACCGATTAGGGTAAATTATTGTTTTAAAATGATGTTATTGTGAACAACTGTTAACAGATTAGGGTAAATTATTTTAAAAAAATGTTTTTATTGTGAACAACTGTTAACCGATTAGCTTAAATTATTGTTTTAAAATGTTGTTATTGTGAACAACTGTTAACTGAATAGGGTAAATTATTTTTCAGATGTGGTATGATTCTACGACATCAATCCTAAATAACGACATATTGACTGGTAAGTCAGAAAATCTGGAAGTGTAAAGGCGGGTGGGTGGGTTAATCAAAATCAAAATACTTTATTGACACACGTAAGTTGATCTCACATGCCACATCGACGGGCCCTTAAATATCTGACCTGTCCAGGTATGATAAGACAGCTAACTAATGGCATGGTGAAGATGAAATAGATTAATATAAAAGCAGTGCTTGTAAGTAGCTCTTGACCATTGATATTTTCAAATCAGCCTTTTGTCAGCCTTTCGTCAGCCTTTTGTCAGCTTTTCACATTTTAGGAGTTTCTCCTTGTCATTTTTGACAGGCTGCCGTGCACAGCATTCAGCTCTTGTCATAGCTCTTGTCATAGCTCTTGTCATAACTCTTGTCATAACTCTTGTCATAACTCTTGTCATAACTCTTGTCATAACTCTTGTCATAACTCTTGTCATAACTCTTGTCATAACTCTTGTCATAACTTGTGTCATAGCTCTTGTCCTAACTCTTGTTATAACTCTTGTCATAGCTCTTGTCATAGCTCTTGTCATAACTCTTGTCAAAGCTCTTGTGTTGATGTTGGGAAATATACTTTCAGAAATCTTTCTCTCGTTGCTGGCAGAGGTACAAAACATTCCTTTCAGTCTTTACCTGAAAAATGCCAGTTTTCTCGATGATACCTGGGAAATGGCTGTAAGTAACTTTGAAGATTTTGTTTGTATGAAATTTGTTCTTGAAAGCTCATAATATGAAAGGTGACTTTGTTGGTAAATGAAGTTGTGTGAGTCAGGTCAAATGACTTCATCTTTGCTTGTCGCACACACACTGTAAAATCTCAGATACCCGTCCTGTAAATGTAAAATCTCAGATACCCGTCCTGTAAATGTAAAATCTCAGATACCCGTCCTGTAAATGTAAAATCTCAGATACCCGTCCTGTAAATGTAAAATCTCAGATACCCATCCTGTAAATGTAAAATCTCAGATACCCATCCTGTAAATGTAAAATCTCAGATACCCGTCCTGTAAATGTAAAATCTCAGATACCCGTCCTGTAAATGTAAAATCTCATGATGTACCATACACAATACACAATTTTGATTTATATAGAGAGAAAATAAATTTTATGGAGGCCTATAATAGTCAGCCATAATTTAAGTTTTTATAGTATTATTATTCTCCAGTGGTGCATTCTTTTGCAGTGTATGCCGGTATAATCTGCCGAAATTTTAACACAGTGAGCAGTAAAAGAAATTTGCAACCATCAGGAGGGACATTCTAGTAGCGTGTGAAATAGAATATATTTAGATTATATGTACCGTTCATGCACCATCATTCTAGTGGCCTACATTAAAGAAAATTGGGGCTTATTATAAACCATTAGGTCAACAGGTCTGTTCCATTAGGTCAACAGGGTTGTTCCATTAGATCAGCAGTGTTGTTCCATTAGGTCAGCAGTGTTGTTCCATTAGGTCTACAGTTTTGTTCCATTAGGTCTACAGTGTTGTTCCATTAGGTCAAAAGGGTGGTCTGTTAATGTTAGGTCAACAAGATTGTTCCATTAGGTCAACAGGATTGTTCCATTAGGTCAACAGGGTAGTATTTTACCCAAAAGCCAGCTTCCAATGCTCAAGTGGGTTTAAAATATGTTTGTTTCAGGAATACAGAGAATATGAATTTGTGCCTTGTGATGTGCTGGGAATCCATCTACAGTGAGTATATGATTTAGTGGCGTACCACAAGTTATGTTGAACATCTATTACGTGTTCCCATGCCATAAAAAAATTCAATCACTCTCTACCGTTAAGATTTTAACTGAGTTAGTGAATCTGAATCTATCTTTTGTAACTGAGTTAGTGAATCTGAATCTATCTTTTGAATTTGATTTTCTATCAAGTCATGTTCATGGATCTCAGAGTTCTTAGAACAGCATGCTTGGGGGTTGGCAAAGAACAATACAGCATGCTTGGGGGTTGGCAAAGAACAATACAGCATGCTTGGGGGTTGGCAAAGAACAATACAGCATGCTTGGGGGTTGACAAAGAACAATACGGCATGCTTGGGGGTTGACAAAGAACAATAGAAAATTATTGGCACTTGTATATGTCTATAGTAGTGAGAAGACAAGATGCCCATGAAAAGACATATCTCTCTAAAAATAACCTGGAAACATTTGTTTTATTTGCCCCTTTACAGTTTCATCAACACACATCTGGTAGTTACAGATATTGACCCCGAGAGTGTTGCCGGTGAAGATGTGAGTAACAGCATATTGTTCAATTTTTGTTCTTTAAGTGCACTGTGACAAGATGTCAGTGACAAGATGTCAGTGACAAAGATGTCAGTGACAAAGATGTCAGTGACAAAGATGTCAGTGACAAAGATATCAGTGACAAGATGTCAGTGACAAGATGTCTGTGGCAAGATATCTGTGACAAGATGTCAGTGACAAGATGTCAGTGACAAGATGTCTGTGACAAGATGTCAGTGACAAGATGTCAGCTCAGACTTCTAGAAAACCCTCAGAAAAAGACAATGTCAGCTCAGACTTCTAGAAAACCCTCAGAAAAAGACAATGTTGGCTCAGACTTCTAGAAAACCCTCAGAAAAAGACAATGTTGGCTCAGACTTCTAGAAAACCCTCAGAAAAAGACAATGTTGGCTCAGACTTCTAGAAAACCCTCAGAAAAAGACAATGTTGGCTCAGACTTCTAGAAAACCCTCAGAAAAAGACAATGTTGGCTCAGACTTCTAGAAAACCCTCAGAAAAAGACAATGTTGGCTCAGAAAGAATATCCTTAAAACAAGTGGATTAAAAGTGGGGTTAAACTAACTGGCATTTTTGTTGTTCCAAGACTCTCTGTTGTTCTTGTACTTTAGGGTAAAGTCTGCATTGGTGATGTCATGGATGAGCTGTATTCAGAGAGTCTGAGGGGAGCCAAGAGAGGAAAGGTTGGTGGAGCTTTTCATATCTGTGGGGGTCTTGCATCTCTGTGGGGTCATTCGTCTCAGTGGGGTCATTCATCTGTGTGGGGTCATTCATCTGTGTGGGGTCATTCATCTGTGTGGGGTCATTCATCTGTGTGGGGTCATTCATCTGTGTGGGGTCATTCATCTGTGGGGTCATTCATCTCTGTGGGGTCATTCATCTCAGTGGAGTCATGATTCTCTGTGGGACACAAAAAGTCAAATACCACTGTCATAAAACACCAGATGGTGTGCAAGTGATAAAACACAAAACAAAAAAAAACAAAAAATATTTGCTTCAAAAAAACTATTCCAACTTTTGAATTTCATTTATATTTTATTCCAACTTTTTGAATTTTATTTATATTTTGGGTATAATTTATAATTTTAGTCCCTGGCTGCTATATATTTTTGCAATATGAAAACAAAGTCTAAATGATTTTCTCTTGGCTTGGGTTGGTAGATATGGGAAATTATATTCTCTTGGCTTAGGTAAGTAGGTACCGTATGGGAAAGGATATTCTATTGGCTTAGGTAGGTAGGTATGGGAAATGATATTTTATTGGCTTAGGTAGGTAGGTAGGTATGGGAAATGATATTTTATTGGCTTAGGTAGGTAGGTATGGGAAATGATATTCTATTGGCTTGGGTAGGTAGGTAAGGGAAATGATATTCTATTGGCTTGGGTAGGTAGGTAAGGGAAATGATATTCTATTGGCTTGGGTAGGTAGGTACGGGAAATGATATTCTATTGGCTTACGTAGGTATGTATGGGAAATGATATTCTATTGGCTCAGGTAAGTAGGTAAGGGAAATAAATCATCAGATTCTGTAGCTAATAATGATATAAATAACCCATACAATGGTAGAGACTGATTTTGATATCTCATCACTGATATTGTCCCCCTCTCAGGTGAGAGATCTCTTCCAGGTGTACAAAGGCATGCCTGTATATGTTAGTTTTGTCAAGGTGAGTCATGCCTGTATATGATAGTTTTGTCAAGGTGAGTCAGGCCTGTATATGTTAGTTTTGTCAAGGTGAGTCATGCCTGTATATGTTAGTTTTGTCAAGGTGAGTCATGCCTGTATATGTTAGTTTTGTCAAGGTGAGTCATGCCTGTATATGTTAGTTTTGTCAAGGTGAGTCATGCCTGTATATGTTAGTTTTGTCAAGGTGAGTCATGCCTGTATATGTTAGTTTTGTCAAGGTGAGTCATGCCTGTATATGTTAGTTTTGTCAAGGTGAGTCATGCCTGTATATGTTAGTTTTGTCAAGGTGAGTCTTCTTTATTTTGCTAGCAAGTTACTGAAAATATTTTAAAATATTTTTAAAAAACTCGCTTTGGAGACTTAAAATAACCGTTGAGTTGTGCCGTAATTCTTGTGTGTTTGTTTATGATGTCTCATTCTAAATTATAAATAAAATCTTAAAAGCAACAAATTAATTAAAATCAAATGCTGCATGTGTTCTATTTTTAGATATGGCCAATGACAATGCCTTAGACTAACTCTTAAATTGCGAGACATGTTAACATTCTTTTTTTGTTATTGCACTTGCAGGCTCGTCTGCCCGATGGTCAGATCTACAGGCCAGTTTCCACTCTTCTGCGCCAGCTGGACGTGGACCTTGCCCAGGCGGGGTTAAGTCGGGACCGCAGCCAGTCTGGTGCCACCATTCCCAGCAGCCGCAAGCCCGCCCACGCCTTGCTGCCAGAAGAGGAAGAGGATGAGATTCCTGTCCATGGACCTGATGGCAAGTAGGTGTTGATGACCTGACAGGACGACATTTTAGACGTTAAAACTTCATGATATATTGATGTTGATGAATCACACAATTTAGTTTGTCTGATAATCAATGTTTTCTGCATTTATATTTTATTCATATTTTACTTCTTAATATTAGGATCTGCTTTTTAAATCAACTTTCACCTAAGGTAATGTAATGTAAAGTAATGTAATTTAAAAATCTATTTCTCTGCTTGGACAGGGCCGAGTACACAGTCGTTTACAGGGGAGTCTACCCTCTAGGGGAGGTAAGTGCAGATTTTTGACATCAAATAACTTTGTCACTTTCCTGCACTATCTGTTCATATTTCCTGCACTTGTCTGTTCATATGTCCAGCACTTGTACTGTTCACATTTCCTACATTCAGATAACCAAAATTGATGTCTCAGCTCCTTCAAGTATGTTTGGTGAATTACTTGAAATGTCTTTCATAAAGCGGACATGTGAGAGAAAGCATCATATTTTTCAATTGACATTTCACTTTTTATTTTTTTATAGCTGCTCAGCTGTTTCTTCATATCAGATACATTGGATGTAATTCATGGCATGGTGCTTCAACGCAGTAAAACAATTATTATTAGTTTAACATTTTTTAGATGTTTAAAGTTCCAATCATGTCATCAATAGTTAAAAAGAAATATTTTAATTACATTTTCAAATAATTTGAATAAAAAATGAAACTCACACCTGAAACCTGCATTAATCTCATGTCTTTAAAAATTCATTACAATGCATGAATTAAAAACTATTATCCCCATCATTTTTCTAGCGTCTCCAACTTTTGTCAAATCAACAAACATCGTTCCACATGTGCAAAATGACTAAGTGTATCTAGCTTCAGCTTACATCTTTAATTGAGTTGCATAAGATAACATTGGTAATATTTTCCTTGTGTTAAAGACAATGCTCTTTCTCACTACATAGGGTGGTAGAGTTGACAGAATTCATAATTCTATTGAGCATGATCTACTAGATATCAAACTCAATGCTTTCTCTCACTCTTTAGGATGGTAGAGTTGACAGAATTCATGACTCTATTGAGCATGTTCTACTAGATGCTGGACGTAAGAAAGAGGTCAGTGCAAAAAGGTTGATGGCTTTAATGTATTTAATGTATTAAGGGCAACAGCGCTTGCTGTGATTCGGTCATTGATTTTATTTGAACATTTATGAGCTAAAACTTAAAAACACAAACTCACCATTTTGGAAGAGATTACAACGCAGCAAGAAAGCAAAGTTACTGGTTTATGCTCATAATAGCAAAAATCTGACAATTTAATGTGCATGTGACACTGAAATAGAGAAATATGACAATGTAATGTGCACGTGACACTGAACATGAGAAATATGACAATGTAATGTGCATTTGACACTCAACAAGAGAAATGCTGCAATATGACTTGAAAGTTTTGTGCTAGATTAGCATGGAGTTCTGCTATATAATATATCCTCTACATGTTTGTTGGGATGTCCTCTACATCCATTGATAGAATTCACTTGACAATATAGTTCTCTGCATTAGTTGTGATGGGTGATAAGGTTCCCTCCTTTCTCATGGGGAGGAACATACAGAAAACATCCCGATGACACTGATTACGTTAAGAGCAATACAAGACCTCTTTGAAGAATATCTTTTAATAACGATGTGACCTAATTTCAAATATTCATGTGCTACACTACAGTGCAGCTCACTTAAGTCATACTGCTCTTACTTTAGTAATACTGCTCTCACTTAAGTCATACTGCTCTCACTTAAGTAATACTGCTCTCACTTAAGTCATACTGCTCTCACTTAAGTCATACTGCTCTCACTTAAGTCATTCTGCTATCACTTAATTCATTCTGCTCTCACTTTAGACATCCTGCTCTCACTAAAGACATCCTGCTCTCACTAAAGACATCCTGCTCTCACTAAAGACATCCTGCTCTCACTAAAGACATCCTGCTCTCACTTAAGACATCTTGCTCTCACTAAAGACATCCTGCTCCAACTACTATTCATAACAACAAACATTCCAAGGTTCTAACTTATAACTTGTGCACCACACAACACAAGACATAACAAACGGTGTGCATGAATTTTACTATATATTTTATACAGGACAGTTGTTTGAGGGCAAGGCAATAGGGTTTTATTTCCCCAGTATATCAACAGTTATTTCTGTATCACAAATATTTTCTTTAGGTTGTGAAAATCCTAACAACCGAGACAGGTGTTGAAGTAAGACGACTCTCTGACAATGAGGTAAGTTGATTACAAAACATCCTCTCTAACTTTTTAATCTTCTGTCGTTTCTTCATCCACACTTCATCAGTTTATTTTTCTTAGTCACACATAAGCTACTTACTCACCAATGACCAGTAGCATGACCAGACCTTGTACCTTGACCAGTAGCATGACCAGACCTTGTACCTTGACCAGTAGCATGACCAGACCTTGTACCTTGACCAGTAGCATGACCAGACCTTGTACCATGACCAGTAGCATGACCAGACCTTGTACCTTGACCAGTAGCATGACCAGACCTTGTACCTTGACCAGTAGTATAGCCAGACCTTGTACCATGACCAGTAGCATGATTAAACCTTGTACCATGACCAGACCTTGCACCAAGACCAGTAGCATGACCAGACCTTGCACCAAGACCAGTAGCATGACCAGACCTTGTACCATGACCAGTAGCATGACCAAACCTTGTACCTTGACCAGTAGCATGACCAGACCTTGTACCTTGACCAGTAGCATAGCCAGACCTTGTACCATGACCAGTAGCATGACCTAACCTTGTACCATGACCAGTAACATGACCAGACCTTGCACCATGACCAGTAGCATTGCCAAACCTTATACCATGATCATTAACACACTCAAGAGTAGATCAAATCCCTTTCCTGGTGGACCATTTCATTTTACAAAACAACTTTCATTTGCTTACCATTTAACCTGCATTTAGGAGTTGCTCTCTTACCATTTAACCTGCAGTTGCTCTCTTACCATTTAACCTGCATTTAGGAGTTGCTCTCTTACCATTTAACCTGCAGTTGCTCTCTTACCATTTAACCTGCAGTTGCTCTCTTATTATTTAACCTGCAGTTGCTCTCTTACCATTTAACCTGCAGTTGCTCTCTTACCATTTAACCTGCTGTTGCTTTCTTACCATTTAACATGCATTTAGTATTTGCTCTCTTCAGTCAGATCAATTTCCTTGCAATGCAAGTATTTCTTCTAAAAAATCCCTGCTTTTTGTCATTCTGTATATGACATAATTAGCCTAAAAGATTTGTTTTGTACCCAACCTCTCACAGCATAACTGTCCCTAATACAGCATAACTGTCCCTAATACAGCATAACTGTCCCTAATACAGCATAACTGTCCCTAATACAGCATAACTGTCCCTAATACAGCATAACTGTCCCTAAGACAGCATAACTGTCCCTAATACAGCATAACTGTCCCTAAGACAGCATAACTGTCCAAAGCCTAATGCGCTTTAGCTTGTCAATAAAAACATAACCTGCATCTCTGTAAAGTTGAATCTCTTACCTTGAATTTACAAATGCAGGTTTCATTCATATTAAACAATGCAAGTTTTTATACTAACCAGTCATGCATTACATTGAATTAACCAATGCCAGCTTCTATACTAACCAAAATGTAACATGCCTTCCAGCTGTTGTTGTCCCACTCTTACACAGAAGTCTCTGCTTGTGGCAGGAGGACAGATATGCTATTATTTTTTGGCTACATCGCTGGGTAAGATTAGTTTGGTGCTGAAATGTGCTGCCAACCCACAGCCATGTTTGTAGCTTTGTTTCCTCAGCAATCTCATATTAGCTAACAGGGAATAAACTGTTGAATTACTTTTGTGCTTGTAGGCAGGGATCAGTGGTGGGGATTTGAGATTTGAATTTTTATTTTTTAGAATAGCAATTAGACCAAGAGTAATTAAAAAGTAAGAATTTTGAAAGGGATAACTACTCTAAGTTTGTTGTGTACCATACATGGTGATTACTACCCTGTGTTTGTTGTGTACCATCATTGTCCAAAATGAAAAATAAAAATAATTTTTTATTAATGAGTTACAGATGCCTAAAAGGTCCATATTATTTTAACAAATTGTTACATATCTTTAACATTATATAAAGCAGAATTTTACTAAAAGTAAGATGAGATTATAAAAATGGGATGGAGAATATCACAAAAATGATGTTTATCTGAATCCGGGGAAACTCATTTGCACATATTTTTTTCTCTACTCACCTCCCTTTCAGAGAAACCACCTGTAACATGGCGAAAGATTTCAAATGTTTTGTCTTTGAAAGTGATGACCAAGGGGAGGTAAGCAGTAGTCTTTTCTTCAATTCATTTGACTTTATTTATACAGGGAGATTTTTCAGTCATTAAAAACCACGCTTTGTTCTTAATTAAGACATTTGTTTTTACACCGACTTTCTTTGGGGTGGTCAACAAAACAACAAACTAAATGATGATGATGTCCTCGACCATTCTAAATTACCATTGGTCTTGAGATGTCATTAACAAGGAACTTGGTCTATAAAGTCTTTAACAAAGAACTTGGTCTATAATGTCTTTAACAAAGAACTTGGTCTATAATGTCTTTAACAAAGAACTTGGTCTATAATGTCTTTAACAAAGAACTTGGTCTATAATGTCTTTAACAAAGAACTTGGTCTATAATGTCATTAACAAAGAACTTGGCCTATAATGTCTTTTACAAAGAACTTGGCCTATAATGTCTTTAACAAAGAACTTGGTCTATAATGTCATTAACAGAGAACTTGGTCTATAATGTCTTTAACAGAGAACTTGGTCAATAATGTCATTAACAGAGAACTTGGTCTATAATGTCTTTAACAGAGAACTTGGTCTATAATGTCTTTAACAGAGAACTTGGCCTATAATGTCTTTAACAGAGAACTTGGTCTATAATGTCATTAACAAAGAACTTGGTCTATAATGTCTTTAACAAAGAACTTGGTCTATAATGTCTTTAACAGAGAAATTGTTCTATAATGTCTTTAACAAAGAACTTGGTCTATAATGTCTTTAACGGAGAACTTGGTCTATAATGTCATTAACAGAGAACTTGGTCTATAATGTCTTTAACAAAGAACTTGGTCTATAATGTCATTAACAAAGAACTTGGTCCATAATGTCTTTAACAAAGAACTTGGTCTATAATGTCTTTAACAAAGAACTTGGTCCATAATGTCTTTAACAAAGAACTTGGTCTATAATGTCTTTAACAAAGAACTTGGTCTATAATGTCTTTAACAGAGAACTTGGTCTATAATGTCTTTAACAAAGAACTTGGTCTATAATGTCTTTAACATTTACATATTTTCAAAATGTAAACAGACCTCTATTTCACCTCTTATAATATAATACCCCTTATTTGTTTATGCTAAGACTTGCTTAACCCAGAAGGAGGTGTGAAACTTGACCTTAACAAGAAATGAGCTGGAACCAATGTATGAATTTTTCTTTTGAGAGAATTCCTCCGTCCAGTACTGGGATATTTTTTTTGAGTTCTGTTTCAAAACAAAAATGTAACATATTTTTTATTGTGATTTCAGGCTAAAATCATTCTGTGTAGTATTGGTGAGTAAATTATTTATTAAACTAAGAAGACTTAATTATTTATTAAACAAAGAAGACCTAAGAGACTAGAAAGTTTGGAAATGACCTTAGCTAGAGGATTTAGTGTTAGAAAGGTAGAGTGAAGTTACTTAGTTTAAGTTAAAGGTAAAGAATTTAGCATTAGAAAGGTAGAGTGAAGTTACTTAGTGAAAGTTAAAGGTAGAGGATTTAGTGTTAGAAAGGTAGAGTGAAGTTACCTAGTTTAAGTTAAAGGTAAAGAATTTAGCATTAGAAAGGTAGAGTGAAGTTGCTTAGTGAAATTTAAAGGTAGAGGATTAGTGTTAGAAAGGTAGAGTGAAGTTACTTAGTGAAAGTTTAAGGTAGAGGATTTAGTATTAGAAAGGTAGAGTGAAGTTACTTAGTTTAAGTTAAAGGTAAAGAATTTAGCATTAGAAAGGTAGAGTGAAGTTGCTTAGTGAAATTTAAAGGTAGAGGATTAGTGTTAGAAAGGTAGAGTGAAGTTACTTAGTGAAAGTTTAAGGTAGAGGATTTAGTATTAGAAAGGTAGAGTGAAATTACTTAGTTTAAGTTAAAGGTAAAGAATTTAGCATTAGAAAGGTAGAGTAAAGTTACTTAGTGAAAGTTAAAGGTAGAGGATTTAGTGTTAGAAAGGTAGAGTGAAGTTACTTAGTGAAAGTTTAAGGTAGAGGATTTAGTGTTAGAAAGGTAGAGTGAAGTTACTTAGTTTAAGTTAAAGGTAAAGAATTTAGCATTAGAAAGGTAGAGTGAAGTTACTTAGTGAAAGTTAAAGGTAGAGGATTTAGTGTTAGAAAGGTAGAGTGAAGTTACCTAGTTTAAGTTAAAGGTAAAGAATTTAGCATTAGAAAGGTAGAGTGAAGTTACTTAGTGAAAGTTAAAGGTAGAGGATTTAGTGTTAGAAAGGTAGAGTGAAGTTTCTTAGTGAAAGTTTAAGGTAGAGGATTTAGTGTTAGAAAGGTAGAGTGAAGTTACTTAGTGAAAGTTAAAGGTAGAGGATTTAGTGTTAGAAAGGTAGAGTGAAGTTACTTAGTTTAAGTTAAAGGTAAAGAATTCAGCATTAGAAAGGTAGAGTGAAGTTGCTTAGTGAAATTTAAAGGTAGAGGATTTAGTGTTAGAAAGGTAGAGTGAAGTTACTTAGTGAAAGTTTAAGGTAGAGGATTTAGTATTAGAAAGGTAGAGTGAAGTTACTTAGTGAAAGTTAAAGGTAGAGGATTTAGTATTAGAAAGGTAGAGTGAAGTTACTTAGTGAAAGTTTAAGGTAGAGGATTTAGTATTAGAAAGGTAGAGTGAAGTTACTTAGTGAAAGTTTAAGGTAGAGGATTTAGTATTAGAAAGGTAGAGTGAAGTTACTTAGTGAAAGTTTAAGGTAGAGGATTTAGTGTTAGAAAGGTAGAGTGAAGTTACTTAGTGAAAGTTAAAGGTAGAGGATTTAGTATTAGAAAGGTAGAGTGAAGTTACTTAGTGAAAGTTAAAGGTAGAGGATTTAGTGTTAGAAAGGTAGAGTGAAGTTACTTAGTGAAAGTTAAAGGTAGAGGATTTAGTGTTAGAAAGGTAGAGTGAAGTTACTTAGTGAAAGTTTAAGGTGGAGAATTTAGTATTATGTCTCAAGAAGTTTTTAGTTTAATAGGGGCAATGGAAAAGAATCATCTTCATGTTTTTACAATTGAAAATTATTTTCTTCATGGTTGTAAATTTTAATTCCACCAGTTTGCTTAATTTTTCTTGATGTTCTTTTAGTTATAAATGTGCTGACAGAATTCTTGAAGTGGAATGTTTTTTTATGCATTTTACAACTGTTGCCAAAAATGTGATAATTTATATCTATCCATATTACATATGCAATATATTTGTTGAATACTAGATTATTTTATTATACCATTATTAGTTAAGCTTTTGCTAGCAGGCATAAATTATTGGTTAAGGTATAGCTAGCTAGCTGGCATAAATTATTAGTTAAGCTTTTGCTATTTAGTTGACATTAGTAGTTCAGCTATTGCTAGCTAGCTGGCATAAATTATTAGTTAAGGTATAGATAGCTAGCTGGCATAAATTATTAGTTTAGCTATTGCTAGCTAGCAGGCTTAAATTATAAGTGACCTGATAAATTCTGAGTGCCAAAATTATTTCAATAATATAAGATTGTATTTTGGGTAAGTTAATCTCTTTATATTTTAAAACGATTTTCTCTCCGCAGCCCAAGGATTTGAACGGACTCATTGGTTCTTGTGAGGAACAAAGATAATCAGCCTGCATTTGACCTTGACATTGGTTGAAACTTGTCCATGATTAAAGTGCAATATTTTATTGGCTCATTAACTTGCTGAATGTATGTAAAAATTGTAACAACATTGACTCCTTGCTCTCTGATTGTATGCCTAATTTTTGTCCCACAAGATCTGTGACTAAATAGTTCAGAATTTATAAAGCAGAATCCAGTAACTTGGTGGGCAATCTTTTTTCTAAAAAAAGTCAGTTTTGGATAAAGAAAATAAAAAAATTCACCACACTATATAGGCATATAGGCTACATCACAAAATACTACAACTAAATTAAGTATATATACGTTACATAAGTATGCAAATATATTAAACTGATTTTTTACCTTTTAGATTTATTTTAAATGAACTAAAATTTTGATAAACTTAGATATTGCTAAAATTTTTAATCTTTCATTTATTATGTACTTTAAAAAAAATTATTTTGGGAATAAAAACAAATTTCCCACACTTGAGAGGTCCATTCCCCCACATGTGTCAGTTGCCATACAGTTGCCCACCCCTGATCTAGAAGATATATATTTATTAAATATATGTATATATTAATTTAACCTTAGAATAATGTGTTTAATTAAACAGTTAAATGGACTATTTGTTTTACATATATTAATATAAATAACACAAGAGAAAGAAGAGTAGTAACTGCTACAGTGTATTTGATTTCCCAGTGGGGTGACTCATGTAAGAGGAGGATAGTAAGTCAGTAACTGCTACAGTGTATTTGATTTCCCAGTGGGGTGACTAATGTAAGAGGAGGATAGAAAGTCAATTCTCAAAAAGAGAATGTGCAATACCTTTTAAAACTGTTAACTAAGAAATTATGTGATAATTTTTTTAAACCTATCTAGATAATCAGTGACTGATTTTTTTTTTTATTATTGATGTATTTTGTAGCATTCCAACATTTTGAAATATTCTTGTATGGCTTAGATATACAACAGCTAATTTATTTTCACTTTTAATTTTTATAATTTAATGTGCGGCCGGAGATAATTTTGCATTTATAAAATTTTTGTTTTTTGTAGATCTGTGATCCTAGCAGTGCTAATAAAACAAAGAAGATGGTTATGGTGATATTAATTGCTTCCAATATGCTCTTTTTTTTTTATAGTAAACTCCTTAATTTTGGACCATAAAATAAACCAGAGGTACAGAAGTTTGTTCACGTTTCTCTTGGGTTCACTCTATAATGTTGTTGGATGACTGGGTTATATTAATAGATTTTCAGTTAAATTCTAGAAATGTGTTGCTCATGTTTAACAGATGAAAGGCTAGTCTAGCGTTGCTGAAAGGTCTATGCTGACAAATATGTTGGGGTTTGGATTTTTGTTCTCTACATCTTAATCTTAGATAAAACCTTGAATTTCATGTGAAGTTTAGAAGATTTATTTTAATTCCTTAATTTTAGAAATTACGCACTAT